GCTCCACTCCTGGGGGTGTGTGGGGATATTATTATAGTAGTATTAGCTTGAATAAAACTAGTTAATTTACTCATTACCACATGATGTGTTTTTTCATGTTGAATTGATAAGCCATTTTTATAGTGTAAGAATAGTTCAACCAGTTTACATTTAAGTCCCTGTAGTTACTGAATAATAAGTTTGTAATAAACCTGGGCTTTTAAGGGGTTACATTTAAATAAACAACAGAGACTCACAGTTTATATATTATATATAATACAACTACATACTATAAATAATAATGATGATTAAAAAATATATAGAATATATAAAATAATATAAATATAAATATAATAATATACATATAAGTGATGGCAATTGGCTTTCAGCATAAATGACCTCTGTCTCTGGGGTTGGATAGCCCTTCCTCTCTCCCATCACTCAGTGTGGTGCTAGCCAGCCATGATCTGTTAGCCAACGTGTCACAATTGGCAGTTAGTGGTAGTTTCAAGCATGCTGAGCTGTCTAATAATGTTGCATTAGCAGTAGTTCGAAAAGATGTGAGAGCTCTTCATGTGTCTCGGAGGAAGCATGTGCCACAAAAATACACAAAAATTGTTTTAAACATTAAACCAGATACCTTAGTTACTGTCTTCACTTGTTTTTGATTGTTTTAGCGATTGTAGTCTGTGTGTTAAAAGAGCATTTACTAGAGGAATTTGCGTGCCCTTGTTAGCGGCATATTACTCTGCATTCCAGTACTCAAAGTTTATCAGGTTGTCTCTAGATGTGTATTCTTTTACGAGATCATGTCTGGCCAGCGAGATCAGTTAGTCTCATGTTAAAAGTTTGGATGCATTTGTTATAATGTTTTTTTTTGTGTTCACATTTACCACTTCAGTTTATATGGCTGTCTAAGGTTGTACTCTCAGTAATGCTATAAAAGAAGAAAATCACCAGTAATCAGTGATGTTTTCTCCAATACTGAGAAATCCATTTTCTGAAAATGCTGGACTCCCTTTAGAAATCTATATTTAAATTTAATGAAGTTACAATTACATAATGTCTCAAAGAGCAATGCCTGTACTCTTAACAAAGGCTATCTGTTGACCTCGTCTTAACTGAACCCTTTAGTGAGGTCTGTTTCAGTTATAAGGCATCTTGTGCACTTGGTTGCCAGACAACAGCTGACCCTCTGACTGCAGTTCACTATCAGTGAGGTCTCTGTCAAGTTCCTTAACTGGAAAAAAGGTATGACACTGTAACTGGGGCAGTACCCCTCTTGTCACTGGGGTGGTACCTCAAGCGTTCATCTCAGTACCTTCAGTCAGGGAACACAATTGTACTGTAATCCACTGACATTATATTTTCTAAGTTGTATTGACTCCACACCCCAGGCTTTTTATTTGTTGTTCTGTTTTGAAACATTAGGTTATGAAAAGGTACAAATATGTATTTTTCCACTAGGAAAAACTTATTTAAGTTACAAAATTGGACCTTAAAACCACTGTTGTACATTTAAGGCTACATTTAAATTGTTTGTACCTTGATGAATGAAACATGTACCTGCATAGTAGCTTTATTTCTACCAGTGTTGGATCAGAGTAAAGAAGAAGTTTAAAAAATTAGAAAAATAAAGTTTGCTATCATATGTATTTCTACTCCACTTAGTCTCTTAACATATTCAGAGTGGCACTATCTGTTTTGTTTGCTGTATAATGTTATCAAAGGGAATTATACTGCTTCCAGTGCATTTGTTGGAAAAAAATTAGCCCATGAGGTACAAAAAGAAGAACAGAGCACTGATTGAGGAAACAAGATTTTAGTGGTGTGTTTTAGTTTCAGTCTGCAGTCTGCATTGAGCTTTTCTGAGCTCCAGTTCCTGTCACATGATTACTGAATCAGTGTCACAGGTGGCAGTGAAACTGAATTCTGCAGGCTTGCGTATCTATCGGCCCATCCAGCTGTTTACTTAGCTGCATGTTCTCGCACAGAGTACATGTCAATGAACTCCCTAATCTTCTATTAAAGATTGAAGAGAGCCAAAATGAAGAAACACGTCTCAGGAGCATGAACGAGTCTTTTAGAGAGGGACTGTTTTTTCTTTCGTAGGGCGTAGCCAGAACACTCGTGTTGCTCTTTGACGATCAGTGATGCCCTTAGAGTTCAGAGGTCGCCATCGTGTTCAGACTGGCCCCTTTGTTTGGTTACAGATCCCTCCACACCCCTGCAAGTAATCTTCAGTTGTGCAATGCGTTGTGGCTGCACCCAAGCAGGCTCTACATCCTAAAAATTAAAATAAAAGTCTGAGAACAAAGTTGAATAAACTGAAACCACCTACAGCTAAGTTGAAATTGTGAGTGAGTCTCTTGCAACACTTGTACTATGCCAGATTCTTTGAATTGATGTCATCATCTTCAGATTCACACTGATATTGCCTTCACAGGAATGTGGTTGCGGCAGAAAAGGCCTTGCTGGTCTGTCAACAGGAACACCATCTTTTGAAGGCCACAGTACAACAAAATACAGGACAGAATGGCTGAACAACTTCAGAGCACTACTGGAACAAACAGCACCTTCCTGCAAAACCCAGCAGGAAATAAGCCTGTGAGTAGCACAGAGAAAGCAAACAGGGTTCTGCTAGGTTTGGAAGGCTTTGATGTGGTGAGACCTGCAGCATTGAGTTTCTGGTGTGCTATACAGTAGGGTATCGCAGGGTTAAGCGATACCCAGGGTTAAGGGGGGAAAAGCCCCCTTAGGTTGTTTATATGCTGAGCAATCAAATGTCATCAAATTTCCTTTCACCACTTTCTACTAGCCCTAACCCACTGCTCTACTGAGGTATTTCTTTAAATTGTATTGTATTCTTTAAACAAATACTCTTATTACATGTGAAGAATAAGTATTATACACCAATGTAATCCTTGCTATTTTTTTATGTAATGTTTTTCCTTAATAAGAGCAGTCAGCTTTATTTTAGCTAATGGGATATTAGTGTTATAATTAGTGCAATTACTCTAGTAGTATAATTAGTAGATATAGGTTGTAATGAATGAATGAATTACATATTTTTCAAAATGTCTGAACATCTCAAGCATTCAGATGTAAACGCACTCATTCAGAGCGGTTTGATGCAAAATAGTTCATTAAAGGGTACATTTTCCTTACAGTGGTGATGATAGCAACTAGGAGTCATGATGTCTACACACAAATCTAGCCATTTTATTTACTATCCAAAACAACCAACCTACATGTGTGTTTTTTTCTGTGCAATGTTGATGCTAATAAAATAGTGATAAATCAGAAAAACTAAATTTTCTTCGGGTAATATTTCACCTTTAACACCCTGCATGTACTTCTCCTCTGACATGAATTGCTTTTTAAAATTATGTTTTAGGCCAAAACTTTATGCCAAAACTATCACAAAACAATATCTCAGACATCAGGCAGCTTATTCATAACCATTTCCTGTAAAAACTTACAGTGAGATAGCTCTTAAAAAACACTGGATATCTGGCTCCTATCACCACCACTGTGAACAATTCAGATTTGACAAGTTTATCGAGAATGGCGCATTTCATTTTAAATCACTGTAAATGACTCTGTTTACATCTTAACAATTTAATTACACTGACATTTAAAAAAGAATTGGTGGAATTTTTGCCTTTAAACATTGACCAGTATACTAAACTAAATCCATCATACTAAATCAAAAAGATCATTACAATGACTTCTGTTCAACATTTCATATACTGTGTAGCACTAAATCCAGTAAAACAGAAATAATTAAAATGCTGCCTTAAAACTGTAATGAAAAACGCAGTTGGTGAGAATATAGAAAATATTCTTGATGTGCTCAAAATGTATATTTTGATGAAATGTGAAGTAAATTATCAAATTATCTCTGTAAATACAGTCATATTGCCGATCCTTTACTGCAAAGTGATCACTCCTAATGGGCAGGTCGTCTACTGACCCAGACCTCCTACAGACTGGAGTTCATTTGTGCCACCTAGCAAGAGCAATAAATGAAGGACTTAAACAGCATGGCTCTCCTTCCCCAGCCACTCCCTATACTCTCATATGGGACTTGAATGGTTGGTTCAGGCTGCTCATATTTATGCCTTTATAACTAGACACAGTGAACAACCATAAGAGCCACCATCTCTGCCTTTAGCAGTTAAATAAATAAGTGCTAAATATGCATACATGAGAGAGGTGATAATGACAGTCAGTATGTACATCTCACACTTACTATTGTGTAAATAGCAGCAGCTTTCACAGTTTCCTCTTTTGCAGGCTTCCTGCACGTTATGTCTGAGCAATGTTTAGACAAAGAATATTGCAGTCAAAGTTTGCAGTAAATCGAGAAGCCCTGCTATCTATGCCTCCATGTTAAAGTGCCCAAATGCATACACTTGCTCTGGCTGCCAGGTGTCTGCCTGAAGGATTAGGGAAATTAAAGCCAGCCATTTAGAGAAAAGAACTGGCAGAGTCTGCCAGTGAAGACACTCCCTCCTAAAAATGGTGCCATAACTAGCACTCTGCTGTCAACTTATAAACTGCTCCACTGGAAAAATAAACGGACCTCACTGAGCACAGACCTTTAAAAGAGCAGAAACAACACGCAACAATGAACTAAATAAATCTGGCATTATTCTGCTAAAGAACTACTGAAGATATTCAGGTGTGATTAGTTATTGGACTTAAAGTAACACATGATTTACAGTTAATAAATAATTTGTCAAAACTCATCTAGAAATGATTTCCTATATATTTGAAGATCTTGCCTTGGCTTTTATGTTGAGCTCTTCAATATTACATGATATATAGCAAATAAGATATAAAACATAATGACTAATATGTATTGAAGAAGGTTAAATTGCATCCCTGTGTAGTTGCCATATCAATAACATTGCTTTATGATAGATAAAAAAAAAACTTTGAAGGAACTGTGTTCAGTTTCACAGCATAGTTTGAGTATGAATTTGTAGGAAGTTTGTTTAAAAAGAAACTAACACTTCTGCATAGAATTTTTATTTTCAAATATGGTATTGTAACAGAAAAACAGTGCACAGTGAAAAGTGAACCAATATCAGTGCAAACTTAAAATTGTTGTATAAAGTGCCATTAAAAGTCTTTTCACTAATTAATACTATGACACTTCAGGAAGTTGTGGTCTTTGATATTTATGGGAAAAAAAAAAAAAACTAAAAAAATTACGATTTTCCAGTTAAAAATTCTTGAATCAGTGCCATCTTTTAGTACATTTGTTTTGCCATTCGAAAAATCTACCAATTGTAGACATTTCTGACCAGGACTTAGATGACAGAACCATTTTCTTTCTTTCTTGGTATGAGCTTCGTTAAATGTCCATAATATGCTACTGATAAATATGTTACATGTGCATTCACTCAACAAATAGTGAACGCAAAGTAAGTGCACTAACGTTTACACTGTAAGAAATGATGGCAACACTTTAGTTGAACCCTGCTACATAATATTGGCATAAACATGCCATAAACATGTCATGGTTGATGTAAATTTAAATTGCAGTATATGCTGTCATAAGTTGTCATGACAGATTTTGTTCAGTCAAATAACAATGTCATGTTATCATTACTGTTAACTGTCATGGCAGATGCCATCATGTTGCTGTCATTACAGTTTAAGTCACATGCTAAATGTAATTAGCCATCATGGGCCCTGTCATGACAATCACTGGTAATGGTAACATGACCCTGTTATTTTAGAGCAGTATAAAATATATATGTCAACATAATCTGTCATGCCAACTCATGACCAAATATAACATGTGCCATGACATGGTTATGTCAAGGTTATGTCAGTGTTACATAGCAGGGTTCAAGTGAGAAGCGACCACAGTTTGTTGTTACAGTCAAATAATTACAGTTCATGTATCTAGACAAAAAGAAGGTTTCTCAATAGCTAAATACTTTATTCCAGAGAGAGACACTAGCGATAAATCCATAAGAACAAACAAAGACATCCTGTATTGACCTCAAGCATATCTTGTATGGCATAAAAACACCTGTCACAGGGGAGAGTTCATCAATTGCTCTGTGCTATCTTAAGAAAGTCACATAGATTCTTCCGAACACTAATTTGAAATATCCATTAATTGAGTGGCTCTTGTACCAAATATCCAATGACATCCAACAACTTGGATCTTTTCAGTCTTTTCAGTCAGTGTGCTGCAGTGCAACATTTAGGAAGCTCTTTTTATTTCTATGGCACAGGGGAGCCAAGATACAGCATGGATTCAGCAACATACAGCACCTGCTTCAGAGTTAATTGTGAATGTCCCTCATGGCACATTGATTGAAGTAATGTCATTTTTGTTTTGCGCACTCTGTATTATTGTGAGCTGCCATCATTAAAGTCTCCTCACGCATTGGACTCATTGAAGAAAATCTTGCTTTTAAGGGACCTCAGGCTGAAACTGAGGCTGGAGCTGGTCTCTGACTGCAGAGCCTCTGAGAACTTTGTGTCGTAGACACGGTCACCCTGCGATTTCCTCCTAATGGAGTTTTGTATAGTCTCTGAGGTGAAATAGTAGACAACAGGGTCAAAGCAACAGTTAGATACAGCTATGCACAAGGAGATTGGATAGATGGTCCTGACCACAGACTCTGCCATGCAGCCTCCCAAAATTTTGGTGCGCACCAGCGAGTAGAAGACCAGGTTGACATTATAAGGGATGAAACAGAAGCAGAAGATCAAAAGGTGCACCACTATCATGCGCAAGATCTTAGTCCTGTTCAGCCTCCCTCCTCGACCGACTGAGTGGGGCCTCCTCAGTGTCTGGAGAACCATGGCAGAGCAGATCACGTTGAGGAGTAGCGGTATAAGAAAGCCAACTGTCTCTATGAAAATTACCACTTTGGAGAGATGTGCCTTCCATTGCTTGGAGGAGAAATTCTCGAAGCAGAACTTGATGCTGGAGTTGCTGTGGGATGTGGTGGAGTTCAGCAAGAAGCCTGTAGGTAGACTCCCCGACAGCACCAGTGCCCACACGGCCAAGCACACAAGCTTGGCATTGCGTTTAGTCCGAAGCCTCTGTGAACGGAAAGGATAGACGATAGCCAGGAAGCGGTCCACGCTGATGCAGGTGAGGAAGAGGATGCTGCCGTACATGTTCGTGTAGAAGAGGGAGACTGAAATCTGGCAGAGCAAATGACCGAATGGCCAGTCTTGCCGGATGAAGTAGAAGACTCGTAGCGGTAACGTGAGCACAAAGAGCAGGTCTGACACCACAAGGTTCATCATGTAGGTGGTAGTTTCATTGCGGAGTTTCAGAGAGCAAGTGAAGATGTACATGGCTGTTACATTCATAATGAGTCCCACCACAAAAACAATGCTGAACACAGTGCTATAGAGTGGATACTTGAATCCATCGTTCTTTGGGCATTCCACCCCATCCATGAGACTGCTGGAGCTGAGATTACTGCTCTGGTGGCTGAGGTTGCTGTCCAATTGCTGAGCTGCACTGCCCATCTGCAAGGTGATGTTGTGCATCTCTCCAGTAAACAAGATTGTGGTGTTGTGTAGAAGTTATGTGAAAGTTACACAATGGAAGGATTTCCCTCGATCCTGAATCCAACAGGAATGGACAGTGCAACATAAAACAAAAGGCACCACAGGCATTCCTTTAAGGTGTCTCTCTCAAAATACTCTCCCAGGGACAAAGAGATCTCTTTCATGTGCTCCCCTCTTTAGTCGCAAGCATTTGAACGCTTCCCTTCGGGACTCTTCAGAGGAGACACTGGGGGTTAGCTGATGGGGAAAGCAGCCCTCCCCAGAGACAGAAGACAAGCTCTAGCTTCCTCCTCCCCTCCCCCTTCTGCTGCCTTTTCCCCAGCCACCCCACAGGACCCCAGCCCAAAGGTAAGGGAGGTCCGTACTCACTCAGAAACTCGCACAACTCGTCCGTGCTGAATCATTTTGACTTTGAGAACCAAGATCCACAAGTCACTCAGGTCTGACTGAATTGAAATCCACTCAAAATGTATCCCTGTGAAGAATAACATCAATGCTGTTAAAAGTCACTGAAGAAAGTAATCCAAAGTGGTCCAGCAGTTGTCAATCCGCAGTGGGCATCTGAAATATTCCAACACTCAAAGCTGTCCCTCTTGTTTTTGAAATCACACAACTGGTTCTGTTTAAACACATGCGCGCTCATAGCACCTGTGGAGTCCAGCACGCTGTGACCGCAGCATGGATCCAACACGCTGCTTCACTTCTACTCCCTGACTGTATGACGGTGTGAAGGTACAGCCTCTCTTCACAGACAGTTTCCTGCCCCCTCCTTTCCCTCTCTTTCCCTCTCGTTCTCTCTCTCTCTCTCTCTCTCTCTGTCTTGGTATCTCCGCCTTTAACAGCCTGAGGGGCATTCTGTGGTTTGTACGTTGAAAGTGTGCGTGTGGGGGTGCAAAGATTGAGCGGGGGGTGGAAGGGGGATCATTAGCTGGAGCTTTATCACATCAAGTGCTTTTGAGTTTCATCATGGCCCCTCCCACCACATTTCATAGAGCCTTCCCTTTCGTTATTTGGCGTAGAAAGAGATATTGAAGGATCAGACTGAAGGTTAGGAACATGTGGTACAGTGGGCAAAGTTCATTTTTTTCCTTTCTTCCTGGTGGACATGAAACTAAAAAGAGTTGCTTAGAGCGGAAACTTTTCCACCGCAGTGTTGCCTTCTCTAGCTCGTGTGTGGGCCATGAGCTGAGCTGCCTGAAAGCACAGTTAAGGACTTGTGGAGGGAAGAGTAAATAGTTGTTTGCAAGCCTTTGTCTTCTGACTTGCTTTTATCATGGCACTTTACTGAACTTTGCTAAAGAGCGGCTTTGCTGCTTTCTTTGATGTTCTACAGTCCCCACTTTTGTTATTAATGGCTTTAAGAGAGAGTGGAACATGGACAAAAGGATAGTTACATTTTTTACCAGTAAATTATGCAGTATAATTGTGCCATTGTGAAGTTAGTTGGTTAACAAATTTACATAGTTTTACTACATTTATATAAAATTAATTAGATTGTTTGGTTTAGAGGTACTATTTTCAGCCAAACCGACCCATGGATATGATTTAATTTAATTTGCTGAAGGAGACTTTAGTTCTCATTATTTGTATTTGAGTAGATGATTCTGCTAGCATATCCCACAGACATACATTTATTAGACTAAACTAAGGTAAATAACTCCACCAGCATCTTTATGCACAAAGGAATATCTTCAACAGCCCATATCTTACATTTTTCCTATTTTTTCTGCATTTTTACTAATTTTACTATTTTCAAATCTCTATTAGAATTAAGCAAGCTATTCCTTTAAGACTGATATACGCAAATTATATCTGCTCTGATTGGCAGCATGAATGGGTGGGGCTAAACTGCTGTAGGCTGGGTAGATGGATGTTTGTGCTTTGAATGCTTTACTTTTCATGACATCACAGAAACAGTGAATTGAAAACGGCCTGTATTGACTGGGGAGTGAATAATATGTTTGGAAAAGTTAACAATATTTACATTCTATGTCAAACTTTTTTATTTTTTTAAAAATGAAGAAAATTCAGTTCTCCACAACATGGATGATGTTACTTATTTTCTGAAACAGAAAAAAATATTTAATTTTTGAACTAACCATTTCCTGTAATTCTTGGACCACCAGAAAAATAGAGAACGCTAATACATCTGATGTGTAAACTGGTAAAAATGGCATCTAGCAAGTTTGGTCTCTGTACATATTACACACACTTTATGACAAGTTGCAGCTTGCACAAGTACAAACCTGTGAAGGCACATACTTAGAAAGACAGACACAAGGACAGACACGAAGACACCTTTATCCTTACATTTATGTTTAATCTAGAGTTGCAGAACCCTGATCATTATCCTGAATCTCTAAACAAAACCTTAAGCTTTACTGTAAACAGAAGCCTAATCTTAACACCACACCCCCTCCAAAAACTTCTTTCGCTTAACAAAAACATGTTTAAAAGCACTTTGCCACATTTGAAGCTCTAAAATCTCCCCCTGAAAAACACCTAAAGCAAGACTTCCTCCCAACACAGACGCTCAAACATCTAAACACCCGTCAATGCTCATGTCTGAACACTGAGTCCAGAGAAAAGGGAACAGCAAGCACAAACGTCAGCACAATCTTCAGCGGTACGCATCCTCATTTGGATTTTAGACCAATTCTTCATGAGTCATACTTTTTAGCTGTTTCACCACTTGGTTATTATGCTACTCATCATCAGGTAGTCCCACCAGGCATTAGGACACATAGTAGCAGTAGTAATACTATGTTATTGAGTTCAGTTCTGTTTGTGTCACTGGGATGACAGTGCAGTGACTGGAGTGAGCTCAGTCTACTGCTCTGACTTGCCCCTGCAGATGTTACAGGTGTGTCTGTACCTGTTCTTGATAGACTCACTTTCAGTGCAGTTTGAACCTGTGCCAGCACCTGCTCATTCAGCCAGCCTGGGCTGCTGGCTCTCTTTTTCAGCAGTTCTTGAAATGTGAAAAAACAAATTCGAAATAATCAGGTTCAAAGGGTGTAAATATTTAAATTTGTGCCACTTAGAGGACAAAACTGCCCCCAGTTTTATCCATGGGTAGCCCTATAAGGCCTTCTAGGTTTTCAGAGAAAGCATAATGATATGCATGGAACAGAAAATACACATCTGTAATTTTGACCCAATTTTTAATTTAAAATAAGCGTCAAGTTTGTTGTGTTTAACTCCTTAAATGGCCAGGGCCCAAAGTTTTATTACACACGTCTATAACCCAAGATAGATTGAGGTCCCTGTACTTACAGAATAATAAGCCTTAATATGTAATAAGCCTGGGATTTTAATGGGTTAAACTCTGCAAGTATTGTAGTAATACTCTTATTTCATTGTGAAGTTTTGGTTGGAAACAAGTTCTGTTCTTGAAGCACCCAAAAGAAAATTATCCAGTTAGATTACTTTCTCTGCAGTATCTAGGTAGATACAACCATGCTATCTCTCCCATTGGTTAGGACTTCAGGAGCATCATAATTACTACCAACATAATTAGGTTACAGTGGAATCAACCAGTCATGTTTTGCTCTGCAATGGGTAGGATCATTTTCATTAGAAAGAAAATGTCATTCTAGGTGTTCTAAAAGTCCTAGATATGTCACTGACTGCGAGTACAGGTAGTAGTCTAACTAGGTTTCAGTCAGATATTAGAAATGGAAAACAGTGGCCTCTCCATGCCAGGGCTGGAAAAAGTCACAAAACAACATACAATGTAAAATATGTGTTACTATGGCTGTTACAAGCTTTAAATAAACCATGGGAACATTCAAATGTCGTTCTTTGACCTATAAAGGCCAAATCTTCATGTGAATTGCCATTAGCTTTAACATACTTCTAGAGGGGCTGGCAGAAGTTAGCATTATCTTATAGGTTAGTTTTTTCATTTTTTTCCTTGAGTGTTGATATTTATGGCATACTTTTATAAATGTAATAAATCAATAAGGGTTATCTTAATATGAATAAATCTTTGTTCCAAAACACATCATAGACCACTATTTTATCTAGACCACTATATTTATCTATGTATTTCTCTCTCTCTCTCTCTCTTTCTATATATATATATATATATATATATATATATATATGTATGTATGTATGTATGTATGTATGTATATTTTTTTCCTCACATTTTTGTATAAATGGATGTGAAATTAAAGGCAAAACTGACCCTTAAAAACATATTATTGCCTATCCTGGTACTGAGTAGCATTCAGGTTCATAGAAATCCAAACAATGAAAAAAGGTTCAGAACGTTGTATATGCCAGATGTTTCTGTTTTCTTTCCAGGAGGGGGTTGCTTACACACTCCGGTCACCAGCATATGAAGTGGTGACACCATAAATCAGAATAACAGCTGTTTTGAAGTCTTTGCTGACAATGTGAAACATGTAAGATGTTTACAGCCATTGTTCCTTTTCTCTCGCCGCTTTCCGCTGAACACATACCATCAGGGTCAAGGAAATGTCACCCCTAAATCCCACAACATCGCTGAGCATGACCATTAAATGAAACACATGTGGTTGAAGTCCCGAATCAGTTAAACCACCTACAATGGCAGGAAACGCCAAGGCCAAGACACCAGCCCAGGCCACGGATTTACTCTGTGATGACCTTGCTGGAATAAAGAAATAAACGTTAGCATTAGCTGAGAAAATTGTTAAATGAAAATATGTTGCTGTAGAGCATGTTCCACTCATCATGTTCCACATGTTCCATTCAACATATATATATATATATATATTTATATATATACATGCATAAATCATAAATTAAGTGTATCAATGTAAAAGAGCTGTTACTTTTCATAGAGTACATGCTGATGCATGTTGATTTTTACAGTATTATCAACTTTCCACTGGTCCTCTGAAGTGGCACTTCAGATGTAAGCAAAGATGTATCTTGGTGTATCCTCAAACTCAGATGTGGTAATTCACTCATTTGGGATTTTACTAAGGACACATAAGTCAGCCGGTGGTGGTGTCAGTGTGAAGAAAGAAGGTTTGAGTTCATATTAAGTTTTTCACTGAGGTGATAAAGTCATCCTGAAGTCAAAGTTGACCTTTTCTACCTTGTCAGTTCCTTCCCCCTAGTCATATTAAGCATGTTTCATCATATTGTATCATTTAAAAGACAAAATTCCTGTTTGTCCGTAGTCCATCAAAATGTAATGACTTTTACCTGCCTCTAAAACACCTTCTGATTTTTGATTAAATCATTGTGCACAAGCAGGTGGGGAAAATAATATTAACCAATAATGTCCTCCATGCTCCACCAACCCCTCCTATCACAGACCAAGTTCAGTTAGTTCTGAGTACCGCTCACGCCTGGTTTGGACTGAATCATTTCATGTAAATAGAGCAGGGGGGCAGTTGGGCAATACAGAGGCTCTCGAGATGTTTAATTTTGTCAAAAACAAGAAAGAAACTGTTGATTTTATATGTACATTGAAAATAAAACTTTCTATGAATTATTATATGTTATTAAATGTTCTAATCATTTTTAGGGTGCCAGTCACAGGCCCTTAGTCTTCAAAGGTTTGAAGACTATAAAATAGTCTGCACATCCTCAATCTATCAGTTTACTCTTTGCAGATATAATCATAGTAGTCTAACAGCCATCAGCTACAATCCTGCCTGCCATTGTTCACCCTCATCTTCTATTTGCAAGTCAAATCTGTAGATGTTTCATACATACACACACACACACACACACACACTGTTTTGTCTCACATATAACTAAGTCCAGGGCTTCATAAAGCTTAAAGCAGATATCCACTGATTTTTCAAAATTTCTGTAT